AAGTATCAAATTCAATTTTTGTCAATAAAAATCTTTCAAATGCGACTGTAGCTTTTCCCCCCCAAAACTTTGTCTTCAAAATAAGGGTCGTCTTATACACCAGTGCGTCTTATATTCCAAAAAATACGATAATTACTTGAGGGTCTATGTGACCTTACTGGAGAAATTCATCAAGTGTTTACAGCAAAAAAACATATACAGCTGCTCAGAAAAAGACACTCATGTGAAAGGATACAAATGCAGCAAGTGTCCTCGTACCAAGTTCAAGAAGTTACCAAGAATGCAAAAAAATAATATGTTTGGAACATTCAACACAAACCTGTCCTGACTGTATTTTCTATAGAATATAAAAATAAGTTATCAAATGCATAATAAAGATATTTGTTCAAAAGAGTAAGAATTATGTGTGTGTGCTAAGTATTTTCCTATAAACACAATAATTAAACATGGAATATTAAAGATTCCACACTAGTAATTATGGTAGTTAATGGTTAAATCTCATAAACTAGCTGATGAGTGATTTATAAGTTCTACAACTTTTACTGGTTGCTATGTGAGTCACACGGAAGAACAAGATATGTTGTCCAGAAGATGGGAGATGAAGGACATCATGGACACAATCATTGTTTAGATAACCTAAAGTAAGGACTGTCTGGAAGAATAAGGAATGTTTATACTGACATGAGCATATAGTAATATTGTCCAGCAGTTGATAAATACGAGATAGTTTGAAATTTTGGACAATAAAAATTACTTTTGAATAGTCACTGCATAACAGTTGCAATGGTGAAATCAACATCTAACTTGTAGAAAAAATGTTGAAATGTGAGCATAAACATTTTCCTTTTAAGTGTTTTTCTCACAGTGTCCACAGCTTAATTATACCACGTTGTTTGATATGCATTTAGATTTTATTATTAACACTATAAATTGTTCATGGTCATGTGGTAAATTTTAAAGTAAGACACTTTTGTATGTACTTTTGAATGAGGATTTTGTCTTTATATGTTTATGTGAGTATGTATATATCAATCCTTCATCCTGGTAAATATTTTGCTTTCCTCCTGATAGATAAGTTATCTCTGGAAAGAAAAAAAAATCCCTGGACAGATCTTATAATTAGAAGTATTTTACTTTTTTTTAAATCTGTTGCACTAGGAATAATGAATCTATAGTCTAGCCTAAATACACTGAAGTACAACTTTATATCAATTAAATATAGGGCATGAAATCACACATTTTACATACTTAGACATGTCAAATGTTTGTTTTGTTTTGGCTCATTGCTCTCAGAATATGGAGAAATAGATACATGTGTATAAAATGAAAGAAGCTGATCATCTCATAAAAAAATATTTGTCACTGCCCATTTTTATACATTAGCGTCCAGTAAATAAAGCACTTATTTTAAAGTTGATAAGTTTAAGATCTGCTAAGTATTTGTGATGAAAACCCAAAAATCTTGAAAAAGAAACTAACTGAAGCACAAAAAACTTTATTTATATCATTTTTATAACTATCGATTATTTAATCAGAAAAGCTGAATTTCAAAATTTACATAAAATTATGTTTAAAGTATGATGGAACAAATGTTTTTAAAGCCTATTTTTTTCTACTTGAGTGTATGTTTGTAATATTTACAGGTAAACTCACAAATATTCATATACTCCACCTAGACTATCAACATGACACTCTTTATGGAAATCAAGTCTTATTAAGAATATATAAACAATTAATAATGATGGATAGATTAGATAGTTAAATTTTTTAATCACAGTGTGCAAACAGATGTCTTACAGGAATGTATCTGTTAGCACACTGGTATGGTTATAACCACTTTTTTCATAGATAATTAAAACCTAATAACATGTACACAAACAACGTATGTTTGTTTGTTAAATGTTCTTTAACATAAAATAATGCAGTTTTTTGAAGTGCTACAAATTATTTTTGCTTTCACAATAAATATTTCCTATTTGTGTCTAAACCTTAAAAAAGTTCTTGCACAATACCCCAACCATTAATAACAATCTGTTCATGTCTCTTATTGTTTATTTAAGGTAAATGAATATGAATATCTTAAAATACAAGTTAATTAACTTTCAAATGTTAATAAGATACACAAGATTACAAAACATTTGATGTAGCAATGTGGCCATGCATATTCGTGTAACTAGTTTTTGTGATGTTAATCAATTTATGTATCACACTTCTTAAAAAGTTCTTTACACACAAATGATATGTTCTCCTTGTGTATATAATCAATAATTATAGCTTACAGCATATGTCACCCAAAAAATGTATAGAAAATATACACAATTATTATGAATACCACTTAAAATATTCTATATTTAATAATTATAAGAATAAAGTAACATTTGTTAATCAGTTCACACTGGAATTATATTGGTAGGAAATTTATAATCAAATCCATGTAAGTCCAAAAAACAACTTGAACTTAAGCAACAAAACTGGACTAAGAGTGAATTGTCCCACCTCTCATATTATAATCTTTGTTTTTCTACACACTGTGTAAAGGCAATTTAAGTGTCAACTTTGTACCTATACTGCTAATATTTCTAACCTTGTTAGCTTTGTTTTAATACGTTACACTTAAAAATTGTACCAACAATCTTCATGGCAAAAGTATTTCACCTTCCAAGCTAATCATCAATTAGAGTTAGCCTAGTATTATGTAGAAATAATATGTATTAAGTTTTCCATTCATATGAAACATAGATTCAAGTTAACATATTTTGTACTTCACTTTCCATTCTTTTAATCTGTCAGAAACAAACTCCACAAAAACCACATACATCATGTGCCTGATGTAGTAAACTTTTTTCAATTAAAATGGTCCAAGTTATACACCTTTATGAAAGAATGATATGTTATAATACCTTTGTGTGCCTAATTATGAGCCAAAAAAAAAGTATGCCTCGTATCTGATACTTGCTAGTTTCTCACATATGCTTCACAATTATGATACTTTAATTTTAAATTTTTGGTAAATCAAACAACTTTTTCTCCAGATTGTTATTGAAAGCCTGTTTGATATGTCAATTTTGATTTTGAAATAATGTTAGAAGTTTTATTGACATTCATTACAAATGAAGAAAAAGATGGCTAATAAAATTCAATATTGCACAAGGGAGGTAAAAGGTTTTTATAAGTCAAGAGTTAAAAAAGGATAGTTTCTTTAAATTCTTAATCTTTTGAGCTTCTTTTACAAAGACAAACTTGTTTTATGTAACTATTAATTAGTTCTTGAGTGATTTTAGACTTATTTCTGAGATAGTGAAACTCGCATTATTGTAACTATCAAAACAAAATATTGTTAAATAGCTGTTATTTAAAAGAAACAAAAAAACTACCAACAAAACTGCAACATTTCAATGTTAACAGTCCTGATACTTAAAGTTACCTCTATATACTAACTACTCTTAGCCATTTCATAAAGTTCACATTTATCATTACTCACAGAATATACACAAGGATGCACCATATTCTGGTAAGCTAATTAGTAAATGGTACATATGTTACAACGAAAAGTACCTTGGACCAAAGTTATTTTCTGTACAGTGTTTTTCTAAATAACTGGTTTTTCATCACCTTGGGACTATAGAATATTAAAACATCTGACTAGTTTTTGTTTTGTTTTTTCATATTTAATAATTATTTTCCATACACATTTCTACTTACCTTTAAGAACAGGAACATTTTACAGCAATCCTAGTTCTCATTTTGAGATTAGGGAAAAAAAAACAATGCCAATTTGCTATTTGGTACACAAAAAAGCCAGAACCAGTCCACTGATAACATACACATTTTCTTTTTTTTAATGTAAGACTATAAACTCCCTAAGCAAAATTTCTAGAATAACTTTAAAGGAAAAAATAAAATAAAGAATTAGATCCAAAGACACAAGTTATCCCCCTTTCTTCTTCTTCTTCAAAAAAAAAATATTTGTAAATTTGCTATCATTCACTTTAATTAACATATTTAGTTCAGACCCTCACATATTAAACACATAAAAAATAAATTCTGTGGTTTTTTTTAACTTTCCTATAAATTTCTATGGCCACTTAGTTCTGAAAGCTATAATTCTGGCTTAAAAATGGTTTAGCTGATTTAAACATACACTCTCACAGAGGGCACCTACAGTCAATGTACTTTTGGATCTAAATTAATATTACCACATGATGAACCCCACTGCATCCGAAAACTGTTACTTCTAACAGCTAGCTGTTGAGTTCGAAGCTTTAAGTCTGCATCAAATGCAGTTTCATTAAAATCATGAGTTCCTCTATAAGAGAGCCGACACTGATCACAATTGTTGTCATCACAGTGAGGAAGCAACTCTTTTTTGGAGTCTGCTTTAATCCATGGCTGTTTTGATGAAGCAACTACCTGTCCACTACTGTCCGTGCTACTACTAGGTGAGTGGCCCGCAGCAAATTCCTCATCCGAGTTACCCTGAGAACTGCCTCCCATCCACATTTTGAGAGCTGAGTTAAGTCCTTGCTTTTGATTGGTTGTTTGTTTTAGTACACCATCTTGGAATGACACAGTTGCAGTACAACTGGTTAAGTTTGGGACGCTAGAATGACGGCTGTAATTAAGTGATTTAATCTGAGGGCTTAACTTTTTAGAACTTTGATGGCTATTATTTTCAAGAGTTTTCTGTAAAGTTATGATATCATTTAATCCTTTGTCTAAAGAAGAGCTCACAGCTGTACATGATAAGTCTGGTCCTGTTCGTTTTGGTGAATCATTGCTAGCTTTCATAAACTCCATCTCTTTTTTAAGTCCTGCAATCAATTCTAAATTGCTGATTTTCTGAGGGTCATTTTTTAGAACTTCTATATTTTGTTTTTCCACCATGGATTCATTGAGAGTTAGAGCATGCTGCACTCCCAGGGAAGGATCTGTTACATTCCCACTAAGCGAAAGAGGAAAACTGTGAAAGGAGGGCATTCTAGGCAAGCTCAATGTTGAATATACTTCCGGTTGGGATTGATCACTAGTGAATATAAAAAGAAATATGTACATATATTTTTTCTTCCCAGTTTATATAGAAAATAGTAAGGAGCAGTAACCATTATTTTAATATTATAATAAATAATTGTTTTGTATACAAGAAGTACATAATATCTGATGTATTTTTGGGGTGTCATTTTACAGACTGATAGAAAATGTAATACCTATTTATTGAGCCGTATTATAAACTGTTAACACAGCTGTCTGGTGAAACTTAAGAGCACTAGAGAATGTATTTACATGCATAAAGCCATATTATAAACTGTTAACACAGCTGTCTGGTGAAACTTAAGAGCACTAGAGAATGTATTTACATGCATAAAGCCATATTATAAACTGTTAACACAGCTGTCTGGTGAAACTTAAGAGCACTAGAGAATGTATTTACATGCATAATACTAGAAACATGAAGATATTAAAAAAAAAAAAAACATGAACTGCTATTAATTTCTTTTCAACTTTCTCAAGCAGTAGGTTAATATTGAAGCAAAAAATCAACCATGAAATTATAGGGGGAAAATTCTTAAATAAATTCTTTTGTCTTCAAGATTAGTGAAATGCAAACAAATTGATACAATTTATTTTACATAAAATGAACTACAGAGGTCTATAAAAGTGAAAGTGTAATAATAATAAAGATTATGGTTGAGCAGCTCTATATGACAAAAAAGTACCACATTTATCAAAGTACTACAATTACCAATATGTTCAAGTAGATACTGGATATAAATTGTGAACACTTTCAATATGATGACAATGAAAATTAGTGATGGTATACTTAACAATGAGAGTGAAAATGAATTTTTATCTTAATATAATGAAATTTTAAACCCAGCTTTATATGTCACATGCAGAATCATGCTTTAAAAACATTGTAAAGAAAAGATTTAAAGGTACACAAGGGTAACCATTTTCCTGTAACTTAATTAATGGTTAGCAGCCTCGATTCACCAAGTTTAATGTGTTTTTGGTGAGAATAGCACTTGAAGATAGCAGGATTAGAAATAAAAAGAATGTGTGATTGCCAAACTTTAATTAGTAAGGTTACAAATGTACATAAAAAAAGCAGGTGATTAAAAATCACTAACCCATAAACATGATTAACTAACAATCACCAAAGTGACATAATACAATTGTGATGTACATAATACAATAACGAAACCTATAATCAATACAGTAAACTTGTTTATAAAATAAAAATTTAACTTATAATATCATCATTGGAATCAGAAAACCAATTCTTGAAAACATTTATATGAGGTAATAGAAAGAACAAGGTAATCATGTTAATTTACCGTAAAGTCATTGTATTAGCATTAATAGGATACTAAAGTTTGTTCAATTTTATTTAACCATCAATACACTAATAACAGTCATTCTTCAGAATTTCACCAACAGTGTTATAACTGATACTTTACTGTTAACTGGTGCTTAAAAAGTAAAGATATTCTAAACTCCTGCACTGAAATTATGGTTTGTTTTATTGTAATGTACATTTGCTTTTATTAAAGGTTTAGGAAAACTTCAAGTATTAGCAAAAAACAAAATTGTTATTTTAAAATATCCTTTAGGGTTCAAAGTTCATACTTACTTCTTTATATTGAATCTTGTCTCAACAAGTGTGTGCAAGTTCAAGAGTGTTGCTCGAAGGTCATGTGTTGTCATACCACAATAATGTCTTAACTTAAAAGATGAAAAATTCAACTGGTAAGCATATTCTTTTAGTTAATTAACTAAAGTTTAAAATATTTAGAAGATATAAAATTTATAATTATTTTAATGGGTTAATTACAAATAATGATTGTTACTGGATTTGTTTTTGTTTAATGTATGATTTTTAATGTTAGTTAAAAAAAAATATATATATGTATATTCTCCAGCAACTTTTGTCCCTACCATATTCTACAAATCTAAATATTAATATCTTAGACTGAATAAAGTACACATTCAGAACATCAAAATATACATGACGTTTTCAACTTTGTTTTCAATCCTTTTTTTACACATGGTAGTTATTAACTTACTTTGCTGTCATGAAACTACTGTGATGACCCCAAGTCATTATTAAATGGCTTCATGCTGAATTACTTAAATCTGAAGAACTAAATTAATCATCAAAACAATTTGAAACAATTTCAGTGATGTGTTGACTCTAGTTCTTAATCAACAGCTCCACAGTGATTCCTTTAATCAAAGAAACTAATCATCGTAACATAAAAAATTAAAATAATTCCACGTAACACCACAATAGAAGGTCCATAATTTTTTTTCACAGTCATGTCTGAATATAGAATATCTTTTTTATAGTCTTAATTTTCTTTCCATCTAAAATAACCTAAAATACAATTTTTCAGAATCTAGTTAAGTTTATTTATTCATCTAATAATGATGACTGAAATATGTTTAAAGACGTTTTCATTTTTCTATAAAGCAATTAAAGCTTACCTGAGCTATGTTTTTATTTAATAAGTACACACCATAATTGAAATGCAGTCGTTCTTTTCCTTTAGCATACAGTGGAAATCTAGAGGGAATAATAAAAGTTAAATATTGCAGAAGTTTAGGACAAACCAAGAAAACACAGACAACACACACCAAGTTTAAGCATTATACAGTGAAAACTTTATTATCCTGCATTTGCTGGACCCCGGCAGTGCTGGATAGACAAAAATTCTATTGACAAAAGTGTACTTTTTTACAATATTTTACAGGAAACATTTTGACACCTTGTTAATATTCTGAAGTACAGTATTTCTACATCATCTATAACAATAAGAGTTTTAAACAATAATAAATGTTGTAGAAAAGTTCAAAATGTATAAAAATATTTATAAGCACAGTATTTTAAATGTGAATCACAGTACAGGCAGTTAACAACTGAAGCTTGCTGGCAGGAAAGAAAATAAACAAAGCCACAGAAATGCCACTAAACTACAATTAGCATTTGTATTTAGAGATATTGAAAGTTCCAGTAACAAGAGCTTTCAAGATATGAAGATGCTGGATAACAAAGCTTTTACTGTAACAAGTTTCTATTAATTTGTACAATAAAATGGAAAATTATTTACAGAGTTAAAATCACATCTACCACAATAACAAACACCTCCAGGGGAAATCTTTTATTAGGTTTACAAAGAAAAGATTATGTGGTATATATTTATATGTAGAGCATTCACTTGTTTAACTTGATTTAACATTTTATCACTTCTCATTTTATTCATGTGCTAAGTACAAATTTTGGGTAAAAAATATTTGGAAAAAAATCTTTAGTTATTTCTTACTGAGTGATTTGCAATGGGTATTTCTCACTAAATATACAAATATTTCAAAATATGTTTAGAACAAACATATCTTTGTAAACATATAAACCTAAAGAAATAAAATCTAGAATACAAACAAAAAGTACTCTAAGTGAACTTTAAAAAGTATAAAAAACTTTAGTACTTACTCTCTATTTTTGTCAGGAATCTTGTCTGAAACATGGTCAATAACGACAGATCGTGAGCTGAAATGACGAACTGGATAACGTAGAGGCAGGTTAAGAAACTGAGATATCATCAATGTCAAATGGCATACATATCCCAAGGCATTTGATATCATTGTGTCATCACGTCCTAAATGTTATTAACAGTTTATGAAACACAGTCATATTCTTCGAATATTTCTTCTATTCTTACCCTTTAAACTATTTTTAACATATTTTTTAGTGAAGATGAAAATATATATAATTAAAATTTATGACAGAAATTGATCAATAAGTAGCACAGTGCTTTTATTCTGAATAAGTATTTTCTAATAAAACATATAGGAAACAAAACTAATGTATCTTACTCTAAGTACGAATTTTCATAAAACCTGAAAAATGTGTGTGTGTATGAGTACACATGTGGGAAATGTAATGCTACCTTTAGAAGATATATATATTGTTATGACAGCGGGGGTCACGTGACGCTAGTAACAAGTTATATTCTCGAACGTTTACGTCCCTTCCAGAAATCTTGAGAGCCTACTAGACATGCGGTAGTCTTGTATATATAAACCGGTCAAGACGAGACGGCAACAATGTAATTGAACTGCGGACAGGGAGACATATTGTTGAGTCGAGCACGTGAGACGTTCGTTGTGAATTACAGAGTTTGTTATAGCACAACTGTGGAAATTAAGTGTATTGCAAAGTTGTATTCAGAAAGAATAAACCAGTTTTATTTGAGAAAGGACTTGTATCGCTAAAGTTTCTTCGGAAATAATTTTTACGGAAAATTAACTAACGACCAGAGACGTAACAATATATATCTTCTAAAAACTTTTCTGTACAAACACATGCACAGGACACAAACACAGTTAACTTTATTTATTAAGTAGATCATATGATTTTAAATCAAAGTGATGTTTACAAATGATTATTTTGGAGAGATATCAGAGATGATGCCAAACTATAATTTTTTTTTCACAATCAATGTTTTTTCAAATGAATCCTATATATTAATTTATGTCTTACCTGCAAAATCTTCAGAGTTTGGAAGATGAACACCACAGATGCTGTAGCCTCTCTTGTCTGGAAACTTAAGAAAAAGTAATATAAGTAATTATTAAATTTATGAAAATCTCTGAAAACTTGTCACTTTGAAAATGTTATTTAGTTATAACTAATGTGTAAAAAAACATTTATTAATCTCAGTGTATTCAACATAACACATTATATTGATCAAATACATAAAACATTACGGAGGTCAGAACTGAAATTGTATAACTGATTGACTAGAGACACATCACTTCATGAAACACTGCACAAGAAAACTAAAACATACAATGATTATTTGTGCTAGTCCAGTCCTAAACCTCTTTAATAAGCTAATAATTGAAAATAATCTTCAAAAGTATAAAAATACATAAACATCATATCGTGTTATGCTAATGCAACTAGCTATAACAGTAATTCTCAAACCTGGAGTATCGATGGGGTTGTAAGTTTAGTAGAAACAAAATCATATGTAGAAAAAAAAAACTGAACATGGTGGTTGAAATACATTTTCAAGCAGATGGGGTTGCACAGACTTGGGATGTCTGAAACAGGGTAAGCAATGAAAAAAAATTTGAGAACTACTGAGATATAAGGAAAAATGGAGAAGTTCATGTTTTATCCCACGTTTTAAAAATACCTTTCACAACTGTAATTTCTCAGCTTTTCATAAATTCTTATGTTTGTGAATCACAGGAAGTTTTGTCAAAAATACAATAAATGCTTATATGAAATTTACTTGAGTAATATCAGCTGAACAATTCCTAAAGAAATTACATAATAAAAGCATTGAAAACAATATTTTAAAAATACAAAATATGTTACAGAAATGACAATTCACAGTTTAAGCATCTAGCCCTTTATTTTCCAACACTGCTAATATGAAGACAATTTAATGCCTACAGTAAAATATTTACTAATTCTCTTTATATTGTCCTTTTCTATTTTTCTTAAAATGTCATTAACAAATACATACCTCTACTATGGGGTAAATGCAAGACAGTTCAGATATCAACTGCTTTCTTCTTAAAATGAGTTGAGCATTAGTCTTAAGAAGATTTTCTCGGGACTCAAAGTAACATCTTCTTCTTTCCACTAATGCATCTCTCTCTCTTTTCAAAAGTTGCAGTTTGTTCATAATTTCCACTGCTACAGTTTAAAAAATAACAACTTAATATCGCAGAAATTTTAAGATATTGAACCACTTTTTAATTTTTTGTTATGAATTAATATTCAATATGTATTTTATTTAAATTTCAAACATTGGGAAAGAGCTCTAAAACAGAAACATTTAAATTTTTTCAAAAACTTGAAGATTGAGAACAAATAAATTTTTAATTGAAAGGTAGCAATTAGTTGCAAATAAATTTTCAGTTATACTAATCAGTTTTATTCAGCTAACTCTGCCAGTCATTGAGCTTTGAAAGATACACTGAAAATCAAAACAGAGCACAGCCCTGGAATTATAATATGCATGAATTAAATTACAAGCTAAGCTTCCTAAAAAACTCACAGAGTTAAAGTTGAGTCATATTCATTCAAGTTTTTATTTTATTTGCTGTTGATAATGCTAGCATTTAATCAATAATAAATTTAATCCTAAAAATAGTCTAAACCAGCCTACTAAAGTTATCTGATGTTGAAATTGAACATACACTAGTTTAGCAGCCAGAAAGATCAATATCAGACTGTTACTCTAACGACTTACATAAAAGGTGCAGTTCACCCTCTTTAAAATATATATATTTTTAGTATGAATCTACATTTGCAAGACATTTATTTTTGTTTCTGTTTTATTAGCCTTAATCTCAGTTTTACTGACTAATTATTTAAATAAAAATGCAGTCTGGTTGTGAATTTTCTGATACCAATACCTTTTTCTTCCACTTCTTGACCATTTAAAGATCTTCTTGATAGTAAAGTGTTCAGCCGGTATTGCTGTACTTGAAGTTCATTTCTTAAGGTAGAGACTCTGGCTTTCATTTGTTCCTGGTGACCTTTTAACTGATGTTTCTGACCAGCTTGTTGAAGCTTATCCTCAATCAAAACACGTAGTCTTTGTGCTGCAGCCTGGGTTTGTTTTATTGCCCTATGAATTGTCTGAATTCTATGAAACAAAAGGAAGGTATGAGTCCCTTATTACATATAGACTTTAATTTTATTTTAATGCTATATCAAGTCCACGTGGTTCTTTATGTTTTAATCAGTTTGAACCTCATGAAAAAGGTCACCATTAATCATCAAAATGTTAGTAGTTCAAACAGAGTTGCATAACCATTACTTAGCTTCAGTTGTGTACAATTCTGTCCCAAATACCAGTTTTTAAATGATTATTATGTTTGAGAGATTTTCATATTTTGAAATCAAAGTTTTAACAAAAAAATATGCCATACAATTATAAAAAGAAACTGAATATTTTATTTATGATAATATCTAGTGTATGGTTAGAAACAGCTGATACTGAACTACTGCCTGCTCTACAAAATATATTTTGTTTACTTACAAATTTCAAAATGCTATAGATTCAACTGTACAGCATAGCAGTCAAAACAAGGTTGATTTGCACAAAATTAAAATAAAAAATAACCCTTCTAAAAATAGTTTTTTTTTCAAATAACAATGTCAATTTCAAATGTTTAACAATGTTACAAGGTTTAAGAAATATTTCTCTTTGACTCTTTAAATAAAATATTTCCACCTGATTTTTTTACAATTTAAAAATTGTTAAAGGTGCTGAAAGAAAGTTGGGAATGAAAGCAGTAATTCCTTTTTCTAATTTGCTTAAACTTGTATTTTATTTCACAGCACGTTATATATACTTATAAAGAACTAGGACTACTAAAATCTTACTACACACATGTTGTACATGTAGTTAAATTTCTTATAACTACACAGAAAATGTTTAATACAACAGAAAATTAACAACAAAGATTGTAATAGGTTTGAGAAATTTAACGGACTGTAACTGCCTGTCGAATGAAAAGGATATGACAATTCAGCTTCTACAGTGAGGACTCGGTATAGAAGCCAAAATGTCGTCCCCTTTTCATTCAACAGTTAATTGCAGTCCATCATAGTTTGCAAAATATACTACATCTACACTGCTTAAAGATGGCAGACTTCACTGCACATTTGAAAGAAGTATTTTTCCATTGCTGATTTGTCTATATACCTGCCCACCCGTCTAATTGCTTAAAGAATGCAATACCAAAGGAAAACAAAACCTAAAACTTAAAAATGCAGTGCAAAGTCATCTTAATAAATATTAAAGGTGTGGATATACAGTAATATGATACAAGTATCATATTGTGAAGCTTTCTATATTCGATATGATTTATGTATTTTCATGAAATTTGGCAAGCTTTCAGTAAACATTGTAAGCCTTTTTTTTACAGAAAAAGTAGAATATATAATAAAGTATTTTTGCTAAAAATTAATGATTCAATAAAGGAAGATGAGTAATGAGTACTACATGTTGTCTTCATTTCTTTTATCAAGAACATTACATGTAAAGTAACATAACAATAACAAAATAGATAGACAGATATTAACTTTTTTTTATCTTACTTCTCTTGCCAGCTGCCATTTAATTGATCACACCTGAGAATTTGAAAAAGCACTGTAAAGTGTGAAGTACTTAAATAAGATAATAAATTACAGACAAGACTATCAAACTTTGTAACAAATTGCTGGGAAAACTTCTGTATCTAGGTACGTATCTTATTGCAGCATCAATATCTAGATACATATCATATTGATTACTATGATGAAGTACGCATCCCTAATAAATATACTAGTAAAATAATTAAAATAATAGTCTTTTCAGAATACATTATAGCACTGGAAAAGTTTCATATGCAAGACGACAGAAAAACTACCATACTTGCTCCTAATGTTAATTTTACTTACCACTCTGTAAAAACTTAAGCATAATACTTTGATGCTGGAGAAAAAACCAAAGTGATAGTTAAGCAACTATAATTTATCACTAGGTTATTGAGTGGAATATTTACCAGATATTGTTAAGTTCATTTAATGAACTGAAGTTTTCATAACTTATATACACTGATTTTATTCATAAATAAAGAATTTTACTTAAAAGTATATTCAATCTGGGTTCTTCCTTGTGCTGTCCAACAAAAATTGTAATAAATGTACACTGGTATTATTGTAATGCACTTACATATAATATCGAGTTAAATATTATTGCAATATAATTGTTAAACAGCTATTAAATAACTTGACATCCATGTAGCTTGCCAAGCAAATGCTTTCACATACTTTTCTATGTCATATATATGTATAAACACAACTATTCTTTAACTCTTTCCACACCAGAAAGATGTCATTGATATCCCAATTTATTCCTTCTCACAGTGGGTATATCAAAATTAAATACATGAAATATGGTACAAACTTACTAAATAGTCTAGTTTAACCTTAAAAAACTGATGTAATTGTATTCAATATTTCTATCATTTTATAGGTTCAAGAATTTTCAATTTTGCTCTTAGACACTGTTTTAAAGTGAGAAAATACTTCCTTTCATCTTAAAATTGGTTTTTATTATTATCATTATTGATCACAAAGTGTCATTTGATATATTCCCCCAGTTTCAACTCTATTGATATTCTTTAAAACATTTCTTTTTTATACTTTATTTTACCAATTGACATTGTCACTCCTCCTGGTTAGAAGTTATAAAAAACAAAGCAAAAACTGACAAAGCTCCCCTTTAAAAATGGCATCATCATCATTCTTTTTGTCAGGATAGTTATCATGATGTTTTCTAAAAAAATTTCTTGGTTGCAACCAACTGATATATAATTTGTTTTCAACAAAATAGTAAGTTATTTTATTTGTGTGTGTCGATTGAAAATGATAAACTTAAAAATAATATTCAGTAAATAAGTATTTGAGTTATTGGAATAATTTGCCATTGTTTATTGAACCCACTAAGCCTAATTAAGCTTATCTCATGTTTTGATATGAAAGAAAATGTATGTAGCTTTCAAACATATATAATTTAACATAATATTTTTCAGGAATGAAAAGAACGAATGAAGTAACTATAAAAAGAATCCCAGATCTATAATTTATTCTTAAGTTTTGTAAAATTCTCATTAAACCTTCCCAAGAAATCATTTGTGGAACACAAAACACCATTTACTTTATACAGTGAAAAAATGCAAATCCCAATATGTAGGAAATACACAAGTAACTCTTAGAGAATGTTTCAACAACCATAAGTCTTCTATTAACACTGAAAAAATATCTCCCTGTTGCTCAACATTTTACCCAACCCGGTCATTCCATTAACAATGTTACTCTCATCAACATTGAAACAGGATTCAAAACTGAAGCTGATAGAGAGATAAAAGAAGCTTATTGGATTGTTAATCCAAACACTGTTCAAAATTGTGGAATCAATCTAGATCCTGGAATCAGTGATATCCAATCATTGGTTTCATCTCTGTCATAAAAATAATATTTATTCTTTGCTTATTCCTTTCATATAACGTGAACCCTAATTTTTCTAAAACTTATTATCTATTTAAGATAATATTCGAGACCTGTTTATATAAATCAATTAGCTTATAATCTCTTTTTTAATCAGTTTCTAGGTGTCACCTTTATTTTACTTAAACACTTAAGTATAGATATATTTATTTCTTTTTTAACCATTTCTAAAGCAAAATATCCCTAACACATTTTTACATAATGCTCTTGTTGCTGGCCACATTGTACAGGAAATGGAACACACAACAGTACATGGAAAAATATACTAAACATTTCCTGGAAGAACAGGTGACCTTCATGACATCATTCAACTCCCTTTATATATTACTCATTCAATTACACCACCATTCCCAATTTGACCTTGAAGAAGAAAGGTCCACCTTTTGAGAGATTTTGGGTTGTAGGGTTTTTATCATTTTGTATCAAGACTTATTGAATCTAAATGTTTTTCTGACATCGTGAATGTAACATTCTCATTAAAATCCTTTGTTTACCTCTACAGGAGATCTGGGTAATCAATATCTTAAGAAACCCAAATTAATTATATTTACTTTATGTTGACTTACATCAATTGTAATATCTTCACTCAAATAATCCTTAACCATTAGCTGGAGCTTTTTTCAGAGCTGAGCTTTATTATTAATTGTTTGGATTACATTTTGTGACACAAGAAAAGGGTAGCAACAAAGGTCTGTACTGAGAGAAGGAAAACCACATGAAAAACAAGACATGAATTATTATATTTTCAGGGAATGATACGTGTTGCTTCTTAGTAAACATAACAGAAATGGAAGTTGCAACATCTCTATTTTTGTTTGGGAATTACAATAAACAAATATTACATAATGGCAAGTTAGAATTTCTAAAATACTTTTGAGTTAAAAATTGTTGAAACAAAATCAGAATTATTATTTTTTACTTTAGTTTTGAAAGTGTATATATAGGTGTGCACTCAACACCTGAAAGATGCTATCCATTCTGGATAAGGTTGAAATAAACTTAACTTTGCATCTAAAGGTTTAATTTTTACCTTGAAAGTGTGTTAACTGAGTAGGAAACTCGAACAGTTGATGGATCAACATTAATAATTTCTGTAGGTTTGTTAGGTGGTCCTTCACAAAATGAATCCTAAAAATTAGGAAAAAAATATTTAAAACTCCGATATTCAATGTACTACTGAATAATGTTATAAAGTAAAAATAGCTTTTCATAACAAAAATATTCATAAATAAAGAATGAGAAACCAAGCTGTAATAAATTAATAAAATTACATATACATACCATGTGAATTTCATAGCTGAGTTACAGTTTGGAATGAATGGTATATTTGCCTAATATCTAATGAAACTAAAAGTATGAAATAATTTAATAATCAAGATCATAAAGTAACTTTCATAATAATATAGTATAAAAGTTTACAAAAAAATTGTTATTTGAATAAAGTATCAAGAGATTTAACAAAAGGAGCCTTAGAGTTCCATTAGAAAATATTCTTCAAGACAATTTTAACAGAGATATTAGAAGAAAAGCATAAGCATTTATAATAAAATATCATCAACCAGTACCTGTATACTATCTGAACTGCTGTAATATCCCTCCGATAACCCAAAAAGTAAAGTATTAGACTTAAATTTTTTACTTTCTTTGGGAATCTGAAAAAAAAAAAAATTATTCATAATTTGCAATATATACTTATTTAAAGACAACAAAAACTGTAAACATCTAAAGGGAAGACAATGTACTACTACAACATTTCCACAATTTTTACAGCTTTATATTTGAATTGCTTTATCAGGCCAAAGATAATTAGCATTGAATATATACAAAATATAAACAAAAAATATGGAGCAAACTAGAGAATGGCAGTAGCTGAATGTATCACACCAGGAGAGGTACTTGAAGAAGTACAGTGTACATATTAGTGGGGTAAACTGTCTTTAAGACTTACATTATTTTTTATAATCTCATATGTAGAATGAAGTTAGAAATCTAAATTAGAAGTATATTTGGTTTATATGTAGGATGACTACTTATATAGCTAATATAATTGTTGGCTTACCAATTCACTTATGAACACCAGGCCTGTTAGATGAACAGTCCATTCTATCATACAGCTGTCCTGCTCTTCAGTTTTATATCTTAACCTGATAACAAAACCTGATTAAATTCGTTAAGGTATGATATTGAATATTCCCATTTTTACTAATATATATATATGTAAATATGTATTTAGCAAATGGAACTTAAAATGTGATAGGAATGAACATTGGATTTTTCAATGTTTGGGCTAAATAGCCGGGTCAGTAACCCTTAGGATTCAAATATAGACATCCTTAATTTTGAGCTACTGACCAAAGGGAAGTCAGTCAGCTAGCAGCACCTACCACAACAAGGACTCAGTACAGCTCTCTGAACCATATAACAGGATTGACTGTCATATTTATAAGCTACCCACAACTTAAAAGTGCAAAGCATGTTTAATGGCATCTTTTCTTGAGCCCCAATTCCTTCAATCTGCAACCCCACACATTAACCATAAGGTCACACCCAGATAAGTTGACAGTGCTCATAGGCTACTGATGGTAAACACAGCATATAAACCTTTCACAATGGGAGCCCTTTTAAATGCTTTTCTGCATAACACATTGTGTTACATTCAAAATTTAATTAAACACTTCTACTGTCAATGTATGTGAATAAAATTGATATTATAAGTTATGTTATGATTCGAAGTTTTATTTTATCCAAGTTTTAAGTCCTTTATTTGAAAATAAACCCTTAAAAACTACTTAAAATTTCACAGGTATTGCCACGTGGCCAACGAGCTATGAAAATTTTCTACTTTGGCTCTCTGTATCTTCAATAATACAATGGTAATGCCGTAGAACTACGTCTAGACAATAATTTGCTTACACAACCTTTTGACTCATTCATTTCAAAGTTCTCTGAATGAATACAATTGAAACAAGTAATAAGTTTTCAGCCCCTGACAAGTGCCATGCCCACCTTCAACAGATTTGTTTGAGCTTTATAGCTTACATGTAGATGCTACATACACATGTGTATATACATTAGAAAGAGATCATTTTACACTATAATCTAACAATGGTTATTTTGAAATTGGCGAGCAGTTGTCATCACAGATAACATGTAATTGACTCTAGTATTGTTGGCTGCTTGATCGACTATAGCATTTATGGTTGTTTCTGACCTAAATATGTTATAGTTAGAGATACAGTTTAGATTGTATTTAGGTCTTACTATTATATTTTATTTAATCATGTATTAGTTATGTTTTCAAATGCATAATTAAAAGGTTTAAACATTTTTTAAATATACATCATACTTGATGCATCTGTTCTCAAGGCTTACGATATTATGTGCTGAATGAAAATTTTGCCGAGGGGTTGCACATGTCACTCAAAGAAATTGTAATGTGCTTCGAGGGCACCATTGATTTGTGTTGAGAAGAATAATAAGTGGTAAAAGACAAGGAAGGAAAATAAAACATTAAACATTAACTACATGCATGTGGAAAGTAAAAGACTTGAAATTACAAATTTAAAAAAAGGAAAATCTTTAAAGATATTCTACAAAAAATTTAAGGGTATATATATTTTTATTTCCTAATTTCAGTTATTTCACTGCATTGTATGTTGATGATAATAGCTAGAGTTAGTGATATGGTAGAGAAAACGACAAATAAAATATAAACATTTACCTTAAAAAACTTTTGATATCCTCTTAAGAGGTTCTAGAGATTATGCAAATGAATATGAAAATTATACGATGAATAAAAGTATATTTATACTTAAAATGAAAATCATCTTGTACTCAATTTGTCAGTAGTTTAAATGCAAGTAACTACAATAGAAAAATAACATTTTTAATAAAAACAGTTATAACAACATCATTATTTGTGTACAAGATACTTATGATCTTTATCAAAATCTTACCAGTTTTTAAATGAATATGTTAAGAAATCTCAGAGTTGAAACTCCCAACTTGATTTCCTCAAATTGCACAAGCCCACCACAAAACGGATAAAGCAAAACTAAATATTAACTACTTCAAATATCTAATGCACCTTTTGTAGGAAAAGAGGGAAATTTTAAGCGCAAACATATATAATCTCACTGCAAAAAACAAACAACAGAGTTCCTTTATCTGATGTTAAAATCCTGGCATATCAATAATCTGTTCAATTTCTATAAATGTTATAAATTTTTTTTATCTCTTACAAAGAATATACTACGATGAAGTAAGAAAATACTATACATCTTTTTTTTTCTGGTATAAATATGGGAAAGTCAAAGAATCATATAATACGATTAACTTTAAAACAATAGTACAATTTTGAGTAATTCAGGGTAGTTATTTCACATTTTCAGACTCGGTGCATTTTTTTTTATTGTACTGCAAAAAAACTATTAAATCAAATGGTTTGAACTTTTAGAATTACAGCCTATGGATTACATAGCTTCTCTATAAAATATATTTCTATATGTGATATTTGTATAAATTAGCAGGTTTGAAATTTTAAAAATGCTTACTTTTGTTGCAGATTTTATTTACTAGTTTTTATGTTACCAGTGTTTTTCTAAATCTTTCCTATAAATTTTTTATTTTATAGAACTAAATTTTATCTTTGTTTTGATTTGAAAAGCAATGAATGCAGTTCTATGTTTATGATCACTGGCATACAAAATTGTTTTTTGTTTTTTTACCATATCAAAATTATAATCAAGCCAACTTTTTAAAGTTGTTAATTAGGTTTTATTTAATATATGTAATAAGTTTTAAATCCATTCATAGCAATTTGGCAATTTTCTTCGCTCATCTGAACAGTTACTCAAGCTGATAAGATCTAACATAAACACAGCCTAACAAACAGCAGCCTTGATGATGAAATTAAACTTGATACAGTCGATTGCAAAATGATTTAAGTAACCATATCTTATTTCACAAAAAAACATTTATTTTCCTATTATAAATTCAAATAAAGTATAAAATGATAAAGCTTTAAAAAAATCAGGACTATAACTGTAGCAGAAGTTGTTCATAAACAGTTTTTCTTCTAACAAAATATTAAGCTTTTACCACTTTGAACTTTTATGACTTCTTGAAGTTGAGCTATAGCATTTACATCACACCATGACAACTGATGTCAAGAAACAGTGACTAGCTAAAAATTGATAAAACTACACTTGTATTCAAGTTACAAGGACAAATGAGCTTTATTTTGTTCAAACTATTAGGACTTCTTTCCGAGGCAGTTACAAGCAGCAAAAGTACAAAAAGTTTTATTATAAAAAATACAATCCTCAAGTGTTTTTTTCATGTGTGTAAACATGATTACATGTTTATTTTCTACCATTTATTTACTTCAATGGCACAATTCTGCCCTTGAGGCTCACTACACCTATCTAGGCATGAAAAGAGCTAAAGTCAATGCAAAAACAGAAAATATTCATATTTGAACACTTAAATATAAGCACACAAATCAGATATGACAAAAATAGTAAAAACTAGAAAGGATACCCAATGCTGCAGCATTGGTGCTACTTGCGAAGTCCAACATCTCAAAATGTTTCCATGTAGGATTCTTAAAGGGGAAAGAAACAAAATACAGCAATCTATAAAAATATCCATTAAATAAGCAACATAAAGTATCCTGTGACAAGCAGAAAATATTACTTATTTTTACAGATGGCCTCTTAATTATTAACTATGGTTTGCAAGTCAGCTAAATGATAATAGTAGTAAGAACTTAGTGGAAAGACATCACACTAGACTAATATCAAAAACATTTTTGAGTTATTTTAAGTGAAAGTTGCAAAATGTAATGTGTATACACAACTAAGGGTGGTTTTTGAATATATAAATACAAATTCATGTTATATGTTTAGTATTTTTCCATTAAAATTGCGAGTAGATCATCCAAAAATTGTCATGTTTTGGTGGCAACTTTGAACAAAAGAAAGTCCACTACATCAATTTCTCATTAAAAAAAATGTTGCATTAGTTTATGTTTCAATCTCATTTTGAAAAATGCAATGAAACTCCCAAAATTATGTCTTCCTACAATTCTTATTTTATAAAATTAAATTTTATCTTTGTTTTGATTCAAAGAACATTGTATGCATTTTCACTTGTGTACAATAAAAATAACATTTTTACCATACTATAGCAAGCCAACTTTTTTTTCACAGTGTTAATTAAAAAGTTTCACTTAATATGTGTAATAAGTTTTAAACCTATTTTATATTATTTTATATTTTTTTTCTGGAATTTTCTTTGCCTATTCAAACAGATACATAAGCCAATACAGTCTATCGTAAACATTGTCTAACAAACAACATTCTTGTCAGCAAATCCAAAATTTATACCAACAAATGTTACAGTTTGAATGCCTTTTCTAAGCTAACAATGCAGGGTTATAGTTCATTACATTGGTCATAAGACAAATACTTCAGTATAATATGAAATGTGTTTTTGTGGAACAAGATGAGTTAGGCTTAGTCAGATCATTTTGCACTTGACAATATAAAGTTTTAATTACATTTGTCATAAGTCATGTCCACCATATTCAATGACTGAATAAAGAATATAGTGTTGAAAAATATAATAAGCCTAATATTATTATTATCTCATGATAAAAGTAATTAATTATAATCATGCTTTGCCAACAAAGGAAAGGTGTTCACACCATAACAATCGTTGTTGTAACAAACAGTGTCCCAGCAAACCTGATGATCTCCGTATTAAATGTGTCATTAGTAATGGATATGTAAGGCATAGTGAGGTTGAAATACTATTATACATTCCTCTAAGGGATTGAATAAAGAATATAGTATTTAAAAATATAATAAGCCTAACAGTAATGTCTTGTGTGTTAGAAAAATTATAACTTTATATTGTTGAGTGCAAAGTGATCTAACTAAGCCTACCTCATCTTGTTCCACAAACAACATTTCCTATTACAGCAATATCATAATTGAAATGAAGTATAAAATGATGAAATAAACTTTTGTGCAAGCTTTGAAAAAAAAAGTAAGATTTTACCTTTTACCTTGTTTACTGTTCAATGTACACTATTTTTAAATGAACAAGTAGTTCATACTATTAAATTATGAAAGCAAATAATACTTACTGTATACTCTTGAACAAGCTCACTTGTGTAAAAAGCTAATACCAAAAACAATAAAGACGGAGAGAGAGAAAAAAAGCATAAGAAACATGTAAATATTTTTACTAATTATACAGCTTTAGAGAATAAAATTAAACAAGACAAAAAAAAAGAACATCAAAATATGTTAAACCTTCTTATACCAAATAATAAAGTTGTTATAAAACTAAATTGATTACTACTGCAAGATTCAGTGGCCTAAAACTCTCACGACTGTATATTGAATATACTAGTAATATAAACTACATCTGTATTGTGATAACAATTTGAACAGCATCAAAAATATATATTTCTTCTCAAAATAAATTAAAGAATATCTATTATGCAAAAGACCATAAATCTGTACTGATGTAGAATATAAAACTGTGTTCCATTGAGAATGCACAGTATACATATAAATTTGATGTTTTCCATTCTTTTATCTTCTCTTTCATATTCATCTGAGTACAACTTTATAAAGTAAAAGCTTGGTCTAATCTAGAGTGGCAATCAGTTAACTGACTTATCAAATACTGTCAACTGTCTAGTCAATGGATCCTCATTTGACCATTGTAAATTTTTTTTCTAATGACAATAAATTATCTTCATAAATATATAACAACATACACAGGGAAAATATAGACAACTGTCAGAAGCAATTACTTTCTTTATAGGGCCATTTATGATTAATCAATAGTTGCCATTTTTCATTTATAGCTTTGTCCTAGCAGATTGAATATGATGGCTGTATGATGTCAATATTCTGCATTATCATTATTATATAATGCACTAAAACTTGACTTAAATTAACCTCACCATTAAAATGGCAAAGCAGTTAAAGCCAAGTACAAGAACTATTCATTTGAATATGTGACCCATGTTGACCATAAGGTGAAATATTTATTTACTTTTTGTCCTGCAATTGCAAAGAAAAAATTGAACACAAGTACCAGGCCAAAGACAATACAGTCTTATTGTCACTTCTTTGATTTTTGATACTAGTGAAGCAACTCCAGAAAAAGTGTACAATATGCCTATTAAGTTTGGATGTATTATTATTTTGGCACCAAATACGTCATCACTTCCACTCCAAGCAAGTTGATATGTGTCAGAAACTTGTATTAGGATGGCATTGCTAGATTCATAAGTAAAATGTTGCCTTACTAAAAGACAGTTTGATTGCATCTATGCTCATGCTATTTATGCAAGTTACTTTCATTCCCACATTGTTAAAAGCTCTTAGATACAGGTCTTCCATCACAAGATATGCCCAATCTATAGACTTCCCAGCCATAAGCAGTTAGCAGGAAACCTTAGTATTAAGAACATAAGGTCCAGCAGAATAACAGTATGTTAATAACTGAAGCTTTTCATGTACCAATCACAATGACATTTGATGGCAAGAATAATGTTTGCAAGGCTCGATTTTAAGGAAATTTCCAGATTGTCTAAAGGACAACTTGACCTGTATCAGAAGTTGCCTGGAAGGCTGTATCAATTGTAAAAAAAAACACAAAAACAATAAAAAACATAAACCCTAAAAAAAAGACCCAAGTACAAGAATATTGATGTTTTTATACCATATTTATTTCCAAAAAGTACAATTAATGCTTAGTTGGCAATTTTGCATCTTTATTCAACTGGATGTGCCTCCTATTCTCTGGGCCTATAGGGTTCCTGGAAGGGCCATTAAGGTAGCCAAGCTTTTCAAAGATTTGCCTGTTCATTTGCTGCACCATCCTCTCAGCTTGTGAACATCCAGTTGTTGCTGACTTAGCTCTCTTAATTGCAAATGCATCATTGTGTTGCTGGCTCATAAAATGCTCTCTATGCAGCAAGAGCTACAACCCTGAATGAATATTTGTTTGCGTGAACCATGTGCTTCACATGTTTTGCAGAACATAAGTTTATTTCCTGCATCGTCCTGCAACCATACTTTGAAATTGGAATTTGTCAGCCACGACTGCTGAAATGTTCCCACACATTTGTCCTCATATCGAGTAAAGTTTTCTTGGATTCTTTGTCGTTTTTTTTGCAGGTTCCTTAACAGATGCCAAGTAATGCCACATTTTTCAAGAACTTTTATTTTTTAACAACAAGACATTAGCCCCAAAAGAATTTGTCATTCGCACACACACATTTTTTTGCATAGACTTTCTATGTTGTACTGACTGCTGAACTCGTATTCTTACATTCATACATTTAGCATTACAGTTTCCCTTTAATTTAAGAATTTGTCATTCGCACACACACATTTTTTTGCATAGACTTTCTATGTTGTACTGACTACTGAACTTGTATTCTTACATTCATACATTTAGCATTACAGTTTCCCTTTAATCTCCCGCATCGTCAGTAAGAGGAATGCACAAATTTGGAATAAAATATTTAAATTCACTTCCCTGCCCCAGTCATAACTAATAGAATATAGCTAACTTTTGATGCCTTATTTCCCAGAAATTTCATTACATTGAAAAAAATAAGCTCAAACCAAGCTAATGTTACGTAGCATCTTAAGGAAACAAACAGTCAATAACTTGTAAAATTTTTAAACAGAACAGTAATCTTAGTTAATCATGTTCTATGTGTTCATTTTAACCAGCTTGGCCTGCTGCCAAGTACAGTAACATACAGCCTATAGTAAGACTAGACTTGCATCGGAACTCTCACACATACTACTATATCGTAATATGTACACAATGCCTGAGCAATACACCTGTACACACACACACACACTGCTGATATGTATTGTTATTCCTACTCATAGTTTGTATTGACCTGGAGAAAGGCAAAGTTAGCCTTAATTTATTTATCGTTATTCTGTTTCATACTGATCAAAACTTTCATAAAATTTGGCTTGCAGTTATCATTATTATGCTCTGTTTAATTCATGGATTTTCCTGCTTTTCTCATGGTAGCTAGGCCTTCCATATTTCCTAGACTCCATTGGTCATGTCCGTCTAACATCCAAAAATTATACAAGTTATCATCCCAGTCACAATAGTATATCTAGTCGATCCTTGTTAGCTAGGAAAGGATACGAGTGATAAGGAACGTGGTTCATTATGTGAAATTACTGAGGTCGGTGGCTGACTCTCACCCTCTCTCTTGAACTTTAATGTGTACTGAATAAAACTGGTTCATTTAAAAAGCCAATGCACTCTAAAACAAGGGACTAACTGAAGACAACCACTAACTATACAACCTCCAATTCACAAAAAAATATCACAGAAGAATTATATTTCTGGATTCATCCGATGAAGAGAATGTAGGGAAAAAATTAGTAAAAGATTGGTAAGAAACATATGACAATGGTGAAAAAAGAGGCAAGCCTTAAAGATCCCATATGACTGACCTAAGACACTATCTTGTTGTAGGCTAATTTATTGTTTTTCTTTTTTTCAGATAGTTTGTACCTCAGTCTTATTTCACAAAAAATTATGTTGAAGTTCTGGTATATCTAGAATATATAAATATAAGATACAGAGTACTACTGTGTTAATTATTGAATTTAAAATTATGTCTTATGTAGAAAACATATTCATCTTCTAAATAAAAGGTTAAAATCTGAGAATAGTCTCACTGATATTTCTTTATCATACAGATTAAGTAATATTTAAAAGTTACAATGTCTGACAGTCATCTGAGTCTAATTTTACCTTTCTTTTCATTGCTCAAGTACCTACTAATCTAATCAACATTAAACACTTACATAAAAGAATGAAATAAAAAAATGTCAACAGTACAGTGAGTATGATTAACAGACTAACCAAATTTACAGAAATACTCTTTAATATTAGATCAGTGTTTGCTGAAACAGCTTTAAATTGATTTCCTAATTTGATTTTTTTAATGTTTACAATATTCCTCATGAAATCCAACACAAGATAACTGAGGTCTAACATGGTGTTAACAGCAAGTATAATTTTCTTACTCATAGCTGTATATATATTCATAAAATATCTAGTAACTGTCTTACATTTTTTTTTGATACTGTAATATCATTATATTTTTCAGCTTTAATGACAGTAAAGTGGAGGTCAGTCTGATCAAAGCATGGGAGCAAATCATAATGTACGATCCTACAAATAAACCACAATTGACAAAGTTTGAAACTGTGACTACAAATCACACCATGATGTTATCCAATAAGGACATAAAGGTCTTTGAAATTAATGTTCAATTACATATTTAAATGTGTAATAAGTTGAAAGAATTTTCATCCTTCTGACAACAAATCATCTGATGCATAACAATCCAAGTGAAATGTATTGGAGAATTACACTTCTAAATACCAATCAGATTCTTAATATAAAACATCAAAACAGACCTGATGCACTGTGATCCTGATGGAGTGTGAAATACAGTCCAGAACCTTCATTAGAACCAAAATTTATCTGAACATTTCGTGCACACACACTACGTAAATGTCTAAGCCTGTGCTGAAATAGAAAAGAAAATATACACTTGCTAAATATATATACATTAGTGTGTGAAACACAGGCACAAAATTTCATTGATAAAATGCAGTTTTAATATATTTTTTAAACATATCCATTGAGCAGAGTTGTGACAAAGGGTATATTTTGAACCTTCAACAGTATTAATTAGCATAATTTTCTGATGATGTTACCACAACTACTATTTTATATCTAACTGAAAACCCTTTCATTTTACAAGTAATACATATAATGAGATAAAACAATCATGTAGTTTTAAAATGTATTGTATAGAACAATAATCATGTTTTTATATTTTAAATTTAAAAAATGTATGTCATTTATACACTCATATTTGATGCTACATGTGATACTCATACAGCTATAAACAGTAAGTTTGCATTACAAGAACAATTGTGCCAATTAAAAAATATGCAGCAGATTTAATCAAAACAAGTCTATTTAACAGTCACTATTCCAGGCAGGTAAATAGTCATAGTTTTTTTTAGCATAAACTGCTGATTAATTAAACCTAGCTAATAAACGTAATAATAAACAAACAGCAAAACAGATTAACACTATAGTTTAACAAGAAAATAAATATGGACAAAATGATATGAGAGAAAGTGTTATTACCAGTCACATTTTATTGTTAAGAACACTGTTAATTAATTAAATATATGAATCTAGGAGGGTGGGGATGTAGAACTACACCAGTGCTTTTTTTTCAACATTAAGAGTATTATTGTTAGTATATATTTTTTGTTTTGTACTTATTCTACCACAATTCTTATCTTCTGTCTTGTACACTTGGCATCCAGAACATTTTATAGAAGCAATGCAGCTGCCAACCATACCCCCCCTGTAATTCACAATAATGACCTGTTACAATGCACAGAAGGAGCTGCTACATATAACAGTTTGGTGGTATGTATGTGTTTTCTTTTTAGTACAGTAATGTTTATTTAAATAATTGACATATAAAAAACTTAACATTTTCCTAACACAGAAGAGCTATCTTCCTCAAACTTCTGCCTAAGAGATTTGCATGCTACTAGCCTTGAGGTAACTTCTACCTAATTTTATGTATTTATGTGAACTGCTCTGGTACATAACGATATCATCATGTGACAAAAGTTCTCCACCAATAGGAGAGCAACACAACCTCCATACACAGTAACCCTATGTACTTGAACTTGTGATAACTTCATTCTTTGACAAAAAAAGACAAAAATGTGCACCACAAGTGGGGAGGATGGTGGGAATGTGTGCGGAGGTGAGTACCTTTAAGAAATACATTTTCAGATTAGGAAAATGTTAACTTTTGACATGATAACTTACCTCCACATAGAAAAGTTAGAATTCAACATTGAATTGGTGGAGGGGCTAGATCAGCTCCCTTCAGAAAATGCCTCAAAGAAAGCACAGAAAGTGTGACACTTGATGGCAGGGGCACACCTGTGGGAAACCACATATCCTTTCAAACAGGGATATACTCTTCTCCCAGCATGTAAGGAGGGAAGAGGCAAATGAGCTCCCATGTGTTTTGGGGACAGGTAGGAGAACATGACTATCCAAGCACTTGCATAGAAGCAGTCAGTGAACCAATCTGTGTAGAATGGCTGGAATGCATTTATACCATATCTTATGTGTTCACCTTGACTCTAATGTACAGACACTGGCTTTGAATTCCTGCCTAGCAACTATGCATTTTTCTAAAATAGAAACAAGTTTGCTGTTTTTTACCAATCCATTCTTTGAAAAATTTTCATCTTTAATCCACTCTCTCCCATAAACTAACACAGCAAAATGGAACTCTTAACATAATCTACATTTGATTTACAATGTAATGTTGTCACAAATACTTCACTATCAAGTCCTAGTTGACCAAAAATCTGATGGAGATAAAATACCCTTTCAATGCTACCTTTATAGATAACCAACTCTCCCAATACAATCTTTATTTTTATATACATAGAAACACATGGTGTTGTATAATTACTAATATCACATATTACTGCCATATCAACATTAAAATTTTAAGACATGATTATGATCTCAGACTGTAAGAATTATTAAGCAAAATAATTGTTTGTGGATTTATTTCTAAAATTTGCAAATTAATATGTGAAATTGGTTTTTTTATTAATTGTAAAATTATTAATATTACTGTTTATTTATTTCACAGAACATTTATTCAACATCACACTTTTCAAGGATAAAAAAGGTAACAGAGTGTCCCCTATACATAACCATGGCAGTGCTCTAGAGGGAGACATATCTGCATCTATGGCAGTGAAAGTGTTAAGCATTTCATTCACACATTTCAAAATTACATTGTTTAAAACTAGTCTGTTCAATTGCTAATTAAGTCTTTCATATGATTTTAAAATCTGATCGCTAAGGGTAGGGAGGTTACAACAAAAGTGAGTGTCCATTCTAAAGCAATAAAAAAGCTAGTGGTTAATACACAACCTTTAAAAACAATATCTAAGTTACTGATAACTGATTCAAACTTTGCATAGAATAGTTTCTCTTACTCTATTTTCACTAATGTAGAAAACATGGAAAGTCCTTTACTGTAAAATGTTAAAGAGGTTTAAAAAAAAGAAGCTTAGCTTTAAGAATTAAATCCTGGTCCTGATGTAGTTTGCAACATTACAGATGATGAGCATGGAACTGATATGGGTTTTAACTGTGAATCCAAAAAATTGTTGAATACTTTGCTATTTTTAGAAAGACATCTACATAAGATCCTGGAAATTATAGGTGTGCATGTTAATTCAACTTCTGATTTTGAGTTGGTTATTATAAGGAACCATTTGGATGTGTATCTTAAAAAACAATTTAATCTAAGATAGTGAGTAGGATTTCAGAAGAAATATTCCTTTAACTTAACAATTTAATACTTGTCCTACAGCATTTCATCTTTTTTGGATGGGGTATTACTGGAAATATCATATATTTTGACTTTTGGAAAAAAATCAAACAAGGTACCTCACAAGGGGGTAATTAGTACATTTGAAATTATGATACAACAGGCACAGAAATTAAGCATTTTGGCAACAAGGTAGGTTTGGCCTTCATTATAATTCTCTTTTCAAAGGCAATAAGGCCATCCTTCCTTTTAATAAATGTACATTAGAATCACAGAATAGATAGTTAGAACCTTGAATATATATGTGCACTGAAAAGTCAGGAGAAAGAGTACTGTAAAAACTATGCACACTTTTAACACTTATACTAATAAATCTGGTAATGCATTTTTACATTGAAAGACACAGAAGGTTTTTGTCAATATGATTAATACAGAACTGGTGTTCTATATTCTTAGAAAAATTAAGATATAAGGCATTGTGTGTGAACAATTTTTAAATGGGACTATCTAAGAGCCATGTTTCTCAGATGAGTGAAATTACCTAGTTTCTATTACGGAAGCTTGGAGAGATAACCTCATGTTCTCAACAAATTTATACAGTGGGTGAACAAAGTACACTAGTTTCCAAACAACTGTTGGTATGCTTAATCCTGCTTACTCACAGCAATAGATGAAGTTAATAGGAAATTAATACAAACATCTGTTAGTATGTTTAAACCTGCTGACTCACAGTGAAATATGAAGTTATTACAAAATTAGTAAAAACAACTGTTGCATATTTAACCCTGCTTATTTACATTGAAACATGAAGTTGCTAGGAGATTAGTATAATATCTTTATCACTTACAAGTTTAGAACATGTCAGTATGTACCATTCAACTAATAATTTCTGTATTTTGTGATCTAAATAGCGTGTGAGAATCTCAGAAACATTCTATGTATTGAAGAAACATGACTTAATGCTAACCGATACATATATAGTCACACATACAATGTATATCATGCTAGTCATGCTCATACTTTTGACACTTGGATTGATTTCTTGTCATTATTTGGGTAGTTGTTTACAACAAGCTGGTGCAAATGTAATGAAATAATCCATGCCAAGCATCATGAAAATTGTTGGGTTACAACATTTTGACTGCTTTGACACTATTTGTCCAAACTGTTTACCACTATACAGAGTAATAATTTAATTGAAACACTCATTTTATTTTGATACTATTTGACAAATTATTTCAGACAATAACACTGCATGTAGAATCTCAGCAATCCTTTGAATGTAATACTCTGACTTGCTTTGCCATTTTTTCAGCCAAACTTGTTTCAGATAATACCACTGCATGGAGCATCACTGCAGTTATTTAATTCCAACACTGACTGATTTTCCACTGTTTAGTCAATTTTTTTTTCAAATTATGTAAATGCATAAAGCATCAGGGTAATCTTTGATGCAAATAATGGCCACTTATGGTCATGAATAGTATAGGTTTTAATGGGGCCAAAGGCCAAACTGTGAGAAACTGGTAACACTTGTATTGCCATTAATTTTGAGCCCTGATTATGTGTAAGATATGACAACTAGATAGTAAAAACGGGTAGTGATAGATGATCATTGTATGAATAGGACAAAGGTAATAAGCAAAGCTCAGTTAGGATCTGTCTTGGAGGCTCTGTTATTCATTAAATAAACTAGCAGAAATACTGCACAATGGGTGGTTGTTTGTGCTAGTAATTACTGATCTAATCAAAAACACCTTAGGTGTGAAAAACAAAGGTACAGCCAAAAAGGATTGAATGTGCAACTTAAAGGAATGAAATCAAAATTAATAGCCAAACTGGTAGCTATACTTATAGCATTGATAAGAATTTTACAGCTGTTATGACAGTGGAAGTCACGTGACGCTGGGAGCATGCACGCTGGAGTTTCTCAAAGGATCCTGGCAACTCTAGTTTGTTCTAGGCACCCTCTTTTTTAGTATATAAGCTTGGTGAGAAAAACCAGCATGATTGAAGAGATAGATAATTGAGTCAAGCGAACAGTAGGCACTGTAAGTAAAGTGTGTGAATCACTGTTATTTATAGCGTGTGTTATAAAGGTTGTTAAGGTTAAAGTGACTGTGGA